GAAACTAGATTCCCATCTCTAGCCCTGTATAAAAATCAACTCAAAATGTATAAAAAGCTTAGACATAAGACCTGCAACTTTGAAAAGTTAGAACAAAACATAAGGGAACCACTTCAACACATAGGCACAGGTGACTTCCTGAGTAGAATTCCAATAGCTTAGAAAATAATGGTAAGAATCAACAGTAAAAAGCTTCTCCACAACAAAGGAAAATAAAAGAATAAAGAGGGAGCCTACAGAATGGAAGCAGAATCTTTGCCAGCTACTGTTAAAAGATTAATATCTAGAATATCTAAAGAACTCAAATATCTCAACTCCAAAAGAATAATCCAATCAAAAATGAGCATAGCAGGGAATACCTCTTCAAAAATGCAAATGACCCATAATTATATGAAAAAATGTTCAACATCTTTATCCATCAGGCAAATACAAATCAAAACTGCATTGAGATTCCATCTCAACCTAGTATGATGGCTACTGCCAGGAATACAAAAAACAATAAATGCAGTTGAGGATTCAGGGAAAAGTGAACTTTATAACTGGTTGTAGGAATGTAAACTAGATCACTATGGAAATCAATATGGAGTTCCTAAAAAAAAGTAATAATACCTATATAATCCAGCTATACTACTCCCTACTATATACAAGAATTAAAGTCATAATACTATAGAGATACTTGTACACCCATATTTACTGTAGTACAGTTCACAAGAGCCTAGGAGCCAATCAATGATCAAACTCAGGGTCTTGCACTTGCCAGGCAGGCACAGTGCAACTGAGCTACATCCCTGGCCCCACTTCATTTTTTTTAAATAGGCTTTTATTGTCTTCTGTAAACATATTACTCTACATTATTCTTTTCATTTTGTTTCTTTCTCTGATCAATGTAGAACAGTTTCTTTACGGTCAATGAATTTTGAAGTTACTCATAACTTGGTCCTAGCCCATTCTCTCTTCTTAGCCTATATTTTCTATCCTGACAGGTTTAATTCTATCCCTAATTTCACAATCTCAGGAGACAGCCCTGTCTTGCACCCAAGTATGCAAGTCAGAGAATTAGGAGCCATTCATTATACCATATTCTTCCCCCACATTTAATCCACTAATCATGTCTAATTCTATTTGTCTTACTCTCCACTGCCATTCCTGTAGTCCACTATTGTATACCATCTCTCACCTGAACTACTAAGACTACAACAGGTCTCTCCATAAACACTCTGTTTACTGTTTCATTTGCCATGAAGAGAGCTGCCCTTGTTTTCAAAATGTAAATCTGAATATTTCAGTTTCATAAAATCCTGCAGTGTCCTTCATCATCCTAATCAAGACTAACAAGGTCCTACAAGGTCTAGTCATTGTCTTCTTTACTAATCTTGGCTGATAACACTCTCCCTTGCTGTATGGTTATCTCACCTCACCGTCCTTCTTTTATTTCTTCAAGTAACCCATATTGCCTATTGCTCTAATACCTTTACATGTAGAATTTCTCTCCACAGAGTGCACTTCGAACCTATCCTCCATCCTCTCACACACCTGTGTTTTCCTATTATCTCCTTTCAAGCTTCATTTCTTCAGAGACTGTGCAAACTACGATAGAAGCCGAAATCTTTAGTTTGTAATTACACAGTTATATGTCTTGACTACTTGAATTAACGTCTGTCTCTGCCACTTCATTGTAATTCTGTAACAGAAGGAAAGGGCATCACTAGCATCCATCAGAGTCCTATTCACTTAATAAGGACTCAGATGTTTGCTAACTAAATTATTTAGGATGACTGTCCAGTGCGATTTCAAAAATAAGTGCAATATGCACTATTGCCACTAGAGGCTGCCTTGCTTATCGTTTTGGGCCTCCTGAACAAGAGCTGTGAAAATAGCCCCACAGCCTAAGTTTAAGTAACTGTCTATAGATAAAACTGCAATGATGGTAAAAAAATCAACATTCATATGCTATTTTTTATTATCAATAACATGTACAGTAATTAATATTATTATATACATTTCTCTTTAAAGAAAATATTTTATTCAAATTAAAAAAGAAAACTATTTTCTATTGAATTGCTTGGAATTCTCCAAAATAAATGTATAATCATTAAATTTTTAGAAAGACATATACCAATAAAAGTTATATCTAGCTTATATCTGTGGAGTGTTTAACATACTGAGAAAACAATAAAATATTAGATATTAAAATTTCAATCAAAAACTTGAATTTAGAGTGTTACTTTTGATTACTTTAAAACTACCAACACCAAAAAATAAATTTTCACACTAATATGATTGAAGTACTTGTTCGATCCCTTGTACCAAAAGCAAGCAAACAAACATAAATAAATAAATAAGGTATGAACTTCAATGACTATGCTTATTATTCAGAGGAAACATTAGCTGTAAAGGCCTAGATGAATGCAACTCTTTCCAAGTAGGAAGTTTCCCAACACTATTAATAATACATTACATTAAGTGGAGATCAGAAATTATTAACAGTCTAGTGTGTTATTTCTTATACATTTTAAATTGATAACTAAAATCCTACATATGGTGGTGGAAAACGTACCCACTGTGAGGATTGGCCAGTTGATTTGTTATGGGTTTGTAATGTCATATTCCTATTGAATAGGAATTAGAAGGAAACTATAGGTTTGAACAGGAAATAAGTCATAGAGGAACTTCTACATCCAACTTGTTACAACTCTGAGGAAATACATTAAATCTATTTTCAACTTGTCCTTTAGAACTCCAACCCTAAATTAAAGCTATTCCCTCTTTTTGTCTTACTGATTTTATTGCCTTTTCAGGCAATACTGCTAAAAAAGTATGTTTTTAAAAACCTGTCAAATGTTCCCAGTTATAGTAATATTTCATTAGTAACATCATTTATAATATTCTAGATACCAGCACTGCAACAAAAACATTCACAATTTTGACAGATAAAAGCAAGTGAGGCTCCAAGAAGCTAGGTTTCAGTTTTTCAAGGTTTCGCAATAGATAATGCACACAACTGGGGTTTGGATTTAGGCTTTTCATTCTGATCAGCATAATTCTCTTCAAGAACCCTAAATGTAGGAGACTTCTAAAATTCCCCTTACAGAGATGAAAATTTATTTCTAAGCATGTCCTTCCTATGACATTCAATAATATTTCCTCTCTGTATTTCAGACAGTGTTTCAATTTTTAATCTGTCTGGTAAACTCAATTAAAATTAGGACCAGTAATTTCTTTGGCTAAGAAATCTATAACAGGATACAGTATTGGCCATTTTGATACTACTGTATTTTTGTAATATTACAGTTCCCCCCACGTTTTTCTTCAATATATGGCAGAAAAAATATTTAGCATTAGAACATCAGTTTTATGAAAAAGTACTTAACAGTTCATAGTACTAACATTATTGTTATTTTAAAAGGCCTTTCTAGTAAAAACCAACCAAATAAAAAGAATCCCCAAATCCTCATTCAAAAGTAAAGTTTTGTTTACATAAATTAAACATAAATTATGGAATCATAAGTTAAAGCCTACACTTAACTGTTGACATACTTTCACATGTAAACCAATCACTTGACCTAAGGTTATATGATAATGCTCCATTTTTATTTTTCCTCAGATCCAAAGGAAATACTTCACTACTTCAATGTAGTATGTAACTTACCTGACGGTCATAATTACTATTTCTTTTGGTGCTTAGTGGAAGCTGTACAGTAAGGAAGGAAATCTAAGACCTACAAAAGTGACAAGTTTTGTTTGAAGAAAATGGAAGCTATCAAGAATAGTCTAAAAGTGGTGCCTGGAAAAAAATTTTTTTAATGCCACTGACTGTAATCAAAAGCTCACATAAAAGATAAATGTTGATCTTCCAAACTTAGGAGTATAGCTGTTTTGGGTGCTAATGCTTCATAAACTCTCAAACAGGGCCAGGGATTTAGCTCAGTGCTTTCACCACCTGCCTCGCAAGCGCAAGGTCCCGAGTTCAATTCTTGTACCAGAAAAAAATAATCATACTTGAACTCTCAAATTTCCAACTTTTAAAAATGAACAAGCCAGAAGGCTGCAAGGCATTTTGGGAAAAGAATGGCTTTGGACTTGAGACAAATTATGTTACTTTCTTTTAGTACTGGAGAAAGTGGAGTTCGAGTATTTATTAATGACCAGGTCATTACACTCTCTAGGCTTGTTTGGTTATTTTTCTACTGGTGAAAGACGATTTGATATTTTGAAGAGTCTTTCTTGTGCAAATTTTTACGAAATCCTAAGTGTTTACTGAGCACTTAAGAGTTGTCGAAGTCGAGCTGTGTACAGATTCCCCCGTCCCATTTTCCGTGCAGTCTCTCCACCCCAGACCCCACACTTTTGCTGGACTAAGTCCAGTGACGGAAGGCGCGGCTCCCTGGAACAGCAAGTTGGTGGCTGTCGCTAGGCCTGCACGGTGAGCAAGCGCGTGGCTGGAGCCAAAATCTACGTACTGCCCTGGGCAATTACTATCGGTGTGGAGAAAATGTCACCGACTAACTGGTAACGGCAACAAAAGGTGAAGCACATTAGGGAAACAGCACCTCAGCAGGCGTGAGGCCACCGTTTTGGTACTGCACCTCAGCGTCCTGGTCCCTGGACTTTACCTGAGGCTTATCCGGGTCACACCTGATCTCGGGAACGAGACCTCCTCAGGCCGAAGGCAGGACCTAGCGCCATTAAAGCTCTTGGGCAAAGTGAACCTCGGTCCCCGCAAACGTTAGCCCACAAGGAATCGCTAATGCACCTGCACGAACGCCCCTCAACCACTGAAGGCTCCTAACACTTCCCCGGCCGCGGCTGCTCTCGCGATAACTTTCGGGCCTGTTTCCCCCCACCGATAACTCCAGCCAATCCTGGAAGAGTTGTGGGCGGGGTTTTGAGGTTGATTCCCCAGGAGCGAGTCCCTCAATTGCTGGGCTCTGGCGCTGAGAATGGGAGGGGCTGAGGCGTTCTGGGGCGGATCGAAGGCAGGGCACACGCAGTTATCGCGAGAGTGGAGACCAGGAAGACGCCTGCAGAGCGGGCAGCGGGTGCGGTAGCTGCTGGTTGAGTGGGTGGTGCTGCCCTGGTATCCCTAATTTCCTAGTCTACCCCTGACCTCTAAGACGGGAGGCAGGAAGTGGTCAGGCCGGGGCTGTGCAGGTGCTCAGTGCCTGCTGCGGCTCAAGGGAGATTCTTAGTGCGGCCTGTTGGGTACAGTCAGGGAGGCGTCCACACTCCTGACAGAATAAAATGGCGGCAATGGCGCCTGGAGGTGGTGGCGGTGGTGGCGGCGGCGTGAATCCATTCCTCAGCGACTCGGATGAGGAGGACGACGAGGTAGCAGCGACTGAGGAGCGGCGGGCAGGACTTCGGCTTGGTGCCGGTAGTTGTCTAGATCCGGGCTCTGCAGGCTCACTATCGCCGCAGGATCCCGTGGCCTTGGGGAGCTGTGCTCGACCTGGGCTCTCTGGGGAGGCGTCCGCGACTGCGATGGCCCTGGGGGTTACAGGGGAGACCCCCGCCCGCTTGTCAATTGATGCAATCGCGGCTCAGCTCTTGCGCGATCAGTATTTGCTGACTGCCTTGGAGCTGCACACAGAGCTATTAGAGAGCGGCCGCGAGCTTCCTCGACTGCGCGACTACTTCTCTAATCCTGGCAACTTCGAGAGGCAGAGTGGAACCCCGCCGGGGATGGGGGCGCCTGGGATCCTCGGAGCAGCCGGTTTTGGAGGCGGTGGAGGTCGTGAACCCAGTACAACGTCGGGCGGGGGACAGCTCAGTAAGTGGACGCAGCCAGTCTCGCTCCTGAGGGATTGTTGGGATTGTGAGGGGATATTCCTGGGTGGGTACCGAATATTACAGCGTTTTAGGAAGAGAGAGAATTGGAGATGAGGTTCTCTTTATGGTGGAAGCAAAGGAATCCTGCAGTGACTGTTTTCCCTGCCTGCTTCCAGTCTGGCTGGTGTTGCACTTGCTGCTCTGTTGGTGTTTGTTCAGTATCTATAAAATATCTTGAGTTTCCAGTTTACTGCCTATTACGACACTCCAGAAGGCTCCCTTGTAAACTGAGTTATTGCTGCAGGCATTTTCTCTAATCTGAATCACAGTATCAGGAAATGTTTCTCAAATTGCCCTCTAATTTTTTGAATCGAAGTCAAGACAGAGAAAATAGAAAATGTTGCTACTCTCTGAATAAAAGTCAGATGCACTTAAGATGTTGTTTAAGGGACGACTTTCTCAGAAGTGGGATTTCTGCACTTAAGTCGGTTGTTCTGTTTAAATGAAATCAATTTAATTCTACTTCAATCCCTTAATATCAGTAGTGTCCAAAATTACCGCGAAGCTTAGGCGCCAGGTCTGCCTGTAGTCAGTCTCATGATCCTACCAGCATGCAGACTTTTCCTCCGCATTAGATAGGAACTTGTTTTTTTTTTTTTAACTATGCTATAATCGTTTTTAACAACATGAAGCAATCGTTTGCCTCATTCATCATTTATTTATAAACATGTTTTATAGTTTGAAAACTTACTATCGAGCATGATCTGTAGGACTTCAGTATCTTCTTTTTGGGAGGCATCTTAGATTCTTCTCACTGATGCCTAGCTATTGTAGTGTCTGATAGAAGGCTAACTGGAATTTACTAACAGATATTAATGTTCAGTTTTAAAACTGTAGCCTGCTTTTTAAAAAATCTCTATAAACTTTTGAATGATGCCAGTGACTTACATTGCTAAACCATAGATGTTACAGAAGTACAAAGAATGAAATTTCTATCAAGGTAAAATAAATCCTAACCACATTTCCCTCTTGAAATATGGAATTTTTTCCATAGGTGTAACTTCCTTAGTTAATACAGGATAATCCTTTTCAGGAAGAGATTTCTCTTATTGCTGACCTTTAAGGCTATAATATGTGACAAAGTGGTGTAACAAAATTGTTATATAGTTGTTTTAAAAAAAGATTTCCATAGGGCCAGGGATTTAGCTCAGTGGTTCTGCCGCCTGCAAAAAAGATTTCAGACTACCTAATAATTCTTACCTGATAAACTCCATACACATCCTAACATTCTAGACTTACTTAGTTGCTTGATTCTTTTTGCAGGAGGGGGGTACCTGGGATCAAATTCGGAACCTTGTGCTTGCCAGTCAGGCGGCAGAACCACTGAGCTAAATCCCCAGCCCTAGTTGCTTGATTCTTTCACTGTACCACTTTTAAGCCTTCATCATAACCGTTAGCTCTTTGGTATTTTTTTCATTAAGTTTATTGGCACATTTAAGGTAAACAAAACAGTTACATTCATCATTGGGATCTTATACCTTTACGTGATGTATCTTGATTCTTTTTTTCCCATTCCCCGGCCCTCCCTTCACCCCCTTCATCCTTCCCAGCGCTTTTGTGTTTGATTTGATGACCATTATGATTGAATGCAGTAGTTTCACTTGAGAGCTTGTAACTTTCTTTAATCATCTTCCTCTTTTAAATTTTCTCTCCCGATCTTACCTATCTTTTCTGAGGACTGTTTTTTGCTGTACTGGGGATTGAACCCTGGCCTTTGCACTGAGCTGCACCCTCAACCCTTTTGTTTTTGTTTTTTATTTTGCGATCTTGTGTCACTAAGTTGCCTAACCTGGGCTAAAACTTCTATCCTCCTGTCTCAGCATTCCAGAGTGCTGAGATTACAGAGGTGTGCCACCACACCCGCTTCTCAGAACTTTTTCAGGATACATCATATCTTACTAAGTGTACCTTTCCTTAGTATCCTCAATACAAAGATGTCATGATTGCTTCCTTTCAGAGTTCCCATCTCTTCAGCTTTGCAAAGTAGTTCCTTGCTGTTAGGTTGAGATTGAGTTTTTCTTTTGCCTGCTGAGAGAGAAAATATCAATAGAACATTTCTAAAATTTATTAGGTTGACTACTTTTAGCTGAATAAGATCTTCTATGGTTCGAATTTTCCACTGTTGTCTGGATTATTGACATTGTTAAATAAAACTATTGCATAATGCATTTTTTTTCTTGCTTATGGCTTTTCAGTTATTTCAGTTATTATTATGTGGAAATTTAGTTTAAAAAAATTTTTGCCTACTACCATGACTTGAATATCTTTGGTAGTTAATAGTTTTACGTTGGCATAATTATAACAGTATGATCAGTTTAGATTTATAGGTGTTCAAAAGCTTCATACATATCCTTGATTATATATATATTTTTTTATGGAGAGGCAGTCTAACACATGAAAACAATTTCACAATAGTCTTCAGTGATGTTTACATTATTATGGGAAAATAATTTTTCATTGTGTAAATAAAATTTGATTGTAGAAATAAAATTTTCTTGACTTTCAAAAGTGAATGAAATTTTTGACCAGGAATTTAGCTCAGTGGTGCTGCCGCCTGCCTCACAAGTGCAAGGTCCTGAGTTAGATCCCTGGTACAAAAAAAAAAAAAAATAGTGAATGAAATTTTGAATAAACTGTTACGTGGCTATGTTTAAACTCTATCCAGAAGTAAAGGAGAGATAATACTTATTTTGCATTTTTCCTTGTATGAAACATCTGGGAACATAAAGCTCCCTGCTTAATACATAATGTGACTCCTCTGGATACTTGAAAAATGCAGTATGACATTTGATGTTTTTGTGGCAAGATAAGGGTATTAATCTGAGGAAACAGACCCTATTACTGTTAAAAATTAAAATTGTACTTTTTTTCCAAACAGTACAAATAAGACTGATACCCAGAATGTTTGTTTGTTAAAAGCTTCTATTAGTTGTTTGATATTTTTAGGTCAAAACTTAATTTGGATAAATTTGATCAACTGAAAAATTGAAAAAGATCGTAAGTATTAAAGCCTGTTTTTTTTCACAAGTAATTGTTTTTTACTGATGTCTACCTGTACATACTGTGGTATTTGATGATACACTATGGCTTTTAAATTATTTACACTAAATCATACTTTATTATTTGAGTAAATATTGTTTTGCTATTTGGCCATACTTTGAATTAAGCAGTCCCTCTTTGATTTGAGGTGGAAGGCTTTGCTTTACCTTAGGCTTGGGCTTGATCTACATCAACTCTCTTACAAGTGAATATTTGTTGCATTAATGCAATTAAATTGTAAAGTGGTTTCTTCTAACATTTCATTGAGGTAAAGGACACTCTTGATTCTCTTGACTCCATGTACACATATAATTTCTACCAACTATGGATCTACATAGGAAAATCTGGACAAGCTGAATGTAAGTTGGTTAATTTTATTTAAGAATAGGTTGCTCACAGAGTACTGAAAAGTGAATGTCTAACATGGAGTATAGCAATGGTATTCAGATTCAGCAAAAGCTAGTATTAGACTAGATCAGGAACACCTTAGAGCTGTTATGTTTAGTAAGATGCATGGCAGGTATCTCATGTTAATGTGAACAAAATAGAAAAATAAGAGCACGATCAGTGTAGCTCTGGAATGATCTGTCAATGATAAAACAATAGTAGGGCTGGGCCTGATGATGTGTACCTGAAATCCCTGCTACTCCTGAGGGTGAGGCTGAGGCAAAAGGATCACAGGTTTAAAAGGTCAGTCTGGTTAACATAGCAAGTCCTTGTCTCAACAAACCCCAGTAGGTTTACACCAGTCTAAATCAAGTAGTTTTGAACTCAACCCATTGTTTGAAGACTACTGGATTTGTACCAGTGTCTTAATTTTCACTTGTCTGCCACTTACCAGGTCTGTCACCTTGGGTGACATTTTTTGTGAGCTTTTTATTTTGTGTAATGAGAGAAAAATCATTTCTGTTCACTGCTAGTCATAAGGTTTTGATGAAGTTCGTGGGAGAATGTATGTGAAAAGACTACAGAAATTCATTGTACAATAATTTGTTTTATGAAAAGATGTGAATCATTAAAGAAAAATACTAGGTCAGATTTGCTAATGGTGAAGAAAGGATGAGAAAGATCAAGGCTGTTTAACAGTGCTAACTTAAGTGGGACTAAAGGATATTTGATGTCCTAATTCAAATAACAATTCCACCATGTTTTTGCATACTGCTTAAAAGGCATTTCTAATTAAAAACAAAAAAAAATTTAAAAACATATTTGAGACAATGGTGCTTGAAATTCACATGACAAATATGATAGCATTTCTCTGCTTAAATAACAACCATACAATCAAAGAAGTCAGCTAATTTTAAAAGAAGAAACAATATTGCATAATAGGTTAAGAGCAGAGATCAGACTGGGTTGGATCTGTTTTTGCCTCTTTTTTAACTTGTGACCTTGGAAAAGATCAGTAACTCCAAAGTCTGCTATCTTTCCATTATACTACAACTTTAACTTTTTGTTTGCTTTGAAACAACTCAGCAGCTGAGTGTGGTGATATGTACCAGTCATCTCAGCACTCAAGAGGCTGAGGCAGGAGTATTATGAGTTTCAGGCCAGATTCAGCTACATAGTAAATTCAAGGCTAGCCTGAACTACATAGCAAGACCCTGTCTCAAAAAAAAACTTAGCAAAAATTATGTCTTATTCACTTAAAATAGCCAATCTTAATGCAGAAGGCAAGCCAGGTGATGCAAAATTGATCATTTTAAAAATAATCAGAGTGACAAACTATAGCACATATTTTGGCAAAGGTGAATGATGCCAGAATTGGTGCCAGAAGCATCAATCATTTCATCAAGGCGGCCACACTGTACAGAGTTGACAGAAATTAGGGCATTGACATCATGCAAGTGATTGCAGTATGTGCAGGCAAAACCTGGATCATCAACCAAATTTCATCTGAAAGCC